CAAAAACACAAAATAAGCATAAGTAAGTATTTATATTTGTGTACAAGCTGTTTACATTGTCAAAAAGCCTGTGTTTTTAGGGTTATTAACAAAGTTCATGTACTCAGACCAGTAATATTTGGAGTCACAAGTTTTTGCCATGAATATTTTGTGGGTCAGAAGATAAAAAGTTTGGGAACCACTGKTCTAAAGCCAGGTTGGGTAAACTGAGCAATGTATGTATATTCTGTGCTCAATTTACTCAGCTAGGCTTAGTGGAGTCAGTTGACATGACTTTGTTGCGTAAATTCAACACTTCTTTTTTTTAGAGCAGAAACATATTTTTTTCATGATGAGTTCAGACAGATTTAATTTGTAACAACTAGGTGTTAAATTTTAAAGTAAAGAAGTAAAAGTTTCATTTTTAGCTTTAAAATGCAACTAAATACAAGTAAAAGTAGCTATTTAAAAAAACAATTGGCAAAATTGCAAATCCTCAAATAAACTACTTAAGTACTGTAAAGAAGTAAATGTACTTAGTTACTATAAATCTCTGCAAATTACAATATAATACTTAGGTAACTCTTTTTGAGGATCTGTTATTTTACTGCGGATTTAAAAAAAAAAAAAACTACTTTAGACTTTACTTCTATTTCATTACACTCCGAAACATAAAAATGACACTTTTACTTCTTTACTTTAAAATTGAACACACAATTACACTATTTAAATATAAACTCCTCATGAGAGATGTTTATGCACACCCAATAAACAAACAAACAAACAAACAAACAAACAAACAAACAAACAAACAAACAAATAAATAAATAAGTGTTGGACATACAAAACCAAGTTAGGTCAACTAAATTGATCAAATTAAGCAATTTACACTTAAAAAAAAAGAAAATGTGTAAACTGATTTATGTTTACTCAGCTAAGTTTAGCGGAACCAGTTGACTTAACTTGTCTAAGTAAATTAAACACTTTATTAGAGTGTGTATTTTACTATCTGTGAGCAGTTTTGTAACTTTTACTTAAGCACTTTTCTCGTCAGTAAAATTTGTTTTGACCAAAGTCAGTTTCTGTTAAGGTGTTTTCGTCTCTCAGCCTCCACACCAAACTGGGTGACTCCAAAAAGCAATCAGKGGTAGAAACACATCCGATATTTCATTTTTATCAGTTCCAATAAAATRTGCCCAGTGATTCATGAGATATTTTGCTAACAGACAAATAAATAAATGCCTGATTTCCTTGCAGTAAGTATGGAAGCCCATTTTCGCCACGCTGATAAAAAATAAAACTTGTATCTCATAATTGTGACTTGGCTATCTCATTATTATGAGACTTAGCTAAGTCATAATTATGAGATAGCTAAGTCTCATAATAAAAATACTATCTCATAACTAATGAGATACTATCTCATAACTAATGAGATACTATCTCATAATAATGAGATACTATCTCATAACTAATGAGATACTATCTCATAACTAATGAGATACTATCTCATAACTAATGAGTAGCTAAGTCATAATTATGAGATACAAGTTTTATTTATTTTTTATGAGGGTGGCGGAAATGGGCTTCCATACAGTAAGTGATAATACCAATGAGAAGTAGTTTGTGGTCTAATTTTAAAACAATAAATTGGGGAAGATCCAACTCTCGCGAGATAAAGCGATAAAAAACGTGATCTTGTCCAGAATCAGTGTGACCAAAGATCAACAGGCGTTTAAAACCCGCCGGATTAAAAAGACAATGTGGTCAGTCACAGAACCCCCCGAGGATGATTTGGACCGTCTCGGTTTTAGTTTTCTGCTCGTCTCAACTTGCGGCACGCGCTCTGTGACGCAACTTGACCTACTTTTCCAGTAAAAAAAAAAAAAAAAAAAAAAAAAAAAAAAAAAAAAAAACACT